ACAGCGTCCGCTCGCGGCGGCCCGCGGCGGCGTCCAGACCCGTTGTAGCATCCCCGCCCCGGTCCCTGCCCTTGCCCTGTCGCCCTGCTGCGGGAGCCGTTCCTCCGCTGCCCTCGCTGCCGGCACCATGGGCAGTGAGCAGAGCTCCGAGGCCGAGAGCCGACCCAGCGATCTGAACTCCTCAGGTCGGTGCCCCAACTTCCACCTCTCCGCGCAGCCGCGTCGGCCTGCGGAGCGTGCTGCCTCCCGGCTTAGCGGGGTCTGGGACCCGCGGGCAGGAACGCGCGGGGAGCCCTCCCCATGCTTTTTTCTTCAAAAAAAAAAAAAAAGCCACCACCTGTCCTAGCCTTGAATCCCCTGATGAAGTGAGTGAGTGATGCAAGCTAAGCCAGAGTGGGCGCGCAGACCCATTATTTATTTTCAGAACAGCTGTTTCTCCTAGCTACAGCCTATTTAAAAGATCACCCAGCTATTTGTTGGCTTTCTTACTCGTGACTGACAGTGAGATTTGGTTCTCGCAGTGGACGGGTCATAGACAGGACCTCTAAGAACAGATTCCGTTTTTAAAAATGGGTCTTAGAGGTTCCTTTTCAGAAAGGCTGTGTGACAGGTGTACAATCTTTTAAGCCTTGGGTGCCTTAGGTAAATTACCAAGAGGTTAGGAGACATTTCTTAATAAAGATCAATGAGAGATTCTGGACGAGTGAATGCCTTGCCATAGGAGTCTCTAGCCTCTAGGAGGCAGGGCAGGTCTGCGGCATCCCTGGATCAACCTTTGAGAACCGGTGATGAGCTTGCAAACACTACCCTTATAGAGCGTAAAGTACTGTAAAGGTTTATTCTGGCCCCAGCCAGGAACATATCTGGGGAGAGGAGGATGTCTTGGGCCAGGAAGCCTTTGATAGTTTGAATCACTTCCCTCATAGTAGATTACATTTTCCTAAGACACCTGAAATTGACCTGCCTCTCCAGCAATCCTCCGTGTTTCTGAATGTTGCCTGAGCCTAGACGGGACCTACTGATTATTTTGACCTGCTTGGACTAATACCTGTAACTTTAAGGCTGAGCGGGCTGGTGCCCCAGGAGTTGCGTTTCAGGGTGTGTGTGTGTTTTCTCATGAGAAGGACCTGTCAAAAATACTTGGTTTGCTGTGATGGGTGGCTAGACAGCTTTGCAACCCCTGCATCACAGGGATGGGTCATGTATACCAACGACCAGTAGACCTTCAATCCTTTCCTAACTTTTTCTAGCACTGTCCACCTTGGGCAAGTCACAGCCAAATTTTGTACCTTTATTTCCTCATTGGTAAAATAAGGACAGACATTAAGAAGATCAAAGAAGTAAAAATTAAAAACACAATCTGCCTGTTCTTTTGTGTGCTGAATAATAAAATACTTTAAGTTACAAAAACAGTTTCATATATATTCCTGTAATGTTTGAGATTTTTAAAACTATTGTGGAAAAATGAGGTCCTCCATGATTCATTTCTCTTTCCCGAGCCCCCACCACAGGACAAATCCAGTTAGCATTTTTCTTGGTATACAAACATTCTTTTTCATAACTACAATGAAACAGCTTTGGTGAGACAGAGGTGGCTAATGAACATGCAATTCCTGAGCAGTATAACTTTATTTTCAGTGACTCCTTCTCCAGCTAAGCATAGAGCCAAGATGGATGATATCGTGGTTGTAGCTCAGGGCTCCCAGGCCTCACGGAATGTCAGCAATGATCCTGATGTCATCAAGCTGCAAGAGATTCCAACCTTCCAACCACTTTTGAAAGGTAAGTGCTTGCATTGTGACTTCTCTGAATTTGATGGAAAGGTTTGCACAGCCCCACTACTCTCCCCAGATATCTGTGTGCCTTACTCAACTCCTTTAGGTCTTTCCTTAAATGGCATCTTCTCTGTGAAGCCTTCCTTGACTGCCCTATTTAGAATTGCAGCCTTTTTCTCTGCCTGTTTTTCTCTGTAGCACTTAATCATCATTGACCTATTGCATTGTTTATTTGGTTACTGTCTCTATTTTTCTACTAGAATGTGTGATGGCATTGATTCCAAGTGTTGAATCCTCAGCACTTGGAATAGAGCCTGGTATAAAGTAGGGTCTGAATAAATGAATGAATGAATGATATTGGAGTTGGCCCTTACCTGTTATATTTCCATGAAAATATTTTTATTCTTATTTGTGGTCTAGACTATGGGTTGACTAGTTCGGATCCTTAGAGGAAATCTCCATGACCACTGACACACTTTTAATTAATTCTGGCAACCGTATTGTATGAGAGGAGAATGGAGATTGTGTATATTGAGGGGGGAAAAGTGTAACAGACCATCAGCCTTCCTGATTAGTGTATATTGAGGTAGTTACCTTTTAATATGAATTTTATTATTCATTTAATAATTTTATTATATATTTTTGTTAATTTTAAATTAGTAAATGTATTAATTTATTTTGTTATTTTCATGTCTCCATTAAGTAGTAGTGATGATTTTCTATTAATGGAGTGGGTTTTCTACTATAAGAATCTCTCTTTATGTCTTCCTCTCACCCAAAAGATTAGGCCTTAGAAATGAACATAAGGTCCTGGTTTATTAACCTGCTACAATGTACAGTAATATAAATGACCTTACATTTATATATCTATTTTAAAAGCCCCTACCATACACATATCATTTCTTTAATTCTTATATCATTAAATATGTTTGAATGATTTGTGCCAGATCAGATAGCTGGACGATAGAGAGGCTGAACTTGAACCTTCATCACTGAACTAATTACACTATTCCACACTGTACTTAAAAAACAAAAATATGAAAACAAATAGTGCTTTATAGATGACCCACATATCAACTCTTTCTTCCTAGCACTTCATCTGCTTTGCTCATGAGGCAATACAAGCTTTCAGTCTGTTCCCCACAGTCCTTAGAGTTAGACTTTGGTAAACTCTTCTGGCTCTTATATAAAACGACACATTACCTCTTGTTTCCCCATCTTATTTTCATGATCTGGAGAAATGATCTGATTCTCCAAAGATGCCAACATTGGTGAAATTTCCATCTCCACATATCCTTGTACAATAATATTAAAGGATATAGCCTTTATCTTTAGAAACTTAGAGGTGGAAATTAGTATTCTCTACTCCATCCCTTCTGGAATTGCATGCAGTATTTCTCACAGAATTTTCATGGCTCTACTTCCTGTTAACTGTATCCTTTCTCCTCCTAAAGTCTTTTAGTCCAGGGTAAGGCCTTATGTGACCAATTTTTGTCCCCACTTTAGGGAAATACTAAAAACAAACAACAAAAACTTCCCCAGAACATTGAGATATATTTAATAATTTTCTGAGATTAATGTTGCTTTTTTAAGCATTTGAAATAATTCATTTTTTAAAAACATGTTTTTATTGATTTTTAGAGGGGGGAAAGACACACCGACATGAAAGAGAAACATAGATCGGCTGCCTCCCACACGCCCACTAGGGATGGAGCCTGAAATCTGGGCATATGCCCTGACTGGGAATCGAACTTGCAACCTTTCCGTACATAGAATGATGCTCAACCGAGCCATACTGGCCAAGGCTGAAATAATTCATATTTTATGATAATAAATTGACTATTAGGAGAAGCATCTGGGAAAAGGCTTGGTGTTAAGGGAAGCTGACCTCAGATTTAAAATCATCACTGGGAACCTGAAAGTGAATAATTAATGTGGTACAGTCCATGCAGTGCTGCTGGACTTGGTTGCACTGATACCTAGGTTTTAACTGGGACTTGGTCACCAACTAGCTGTGTTGCTCTGGCTTTGTTTTTTACATTTTTAAACCTTAGTAGTTGAGAACATTGAGAATAGGTACAGGAGAGAGGAAAGCTGGTGAGTAGCAGGTTGTAATTAAGAGATGATCTAGGATTTGTAAGGTAAAGAAATCACTTGATGAGAGTGGCATGAAAGTAGAAATGGCAACATGTGACAATGGCCAGACTGCAGGAAACACACACACAAACAAAAAAGCCAGTGAGCATTGAAGTTGATGCTCATGTTTCACTTCTGAAGTACAAACATCTTGGACAGTGATTAGAAAAGATGGGCAAAGAGGACAGTTGAATGGAAATAATAAATATAATAATGATAATAATAGTAGCTAATTCCTTCCACTCACCATACCTCTGAATGATAGCTATTATTCTTTCCCTTTTATAGGTTGAAACATTGGTGCTCAGAGCTTAAATACAGTGCCTAAAGTCGCATGCCTATAAGTGATAGCCCATCTTGCGATGGCATCAGGTCAAGTGTTTAACAATTTTGTACCTAGAGTAAGGCTCAGTTCCCAATTCTAGCAAAACTCGCTGTTCAAATCACTAGGCTATAATAGGAAATAGAGTGATGGGTGTGAGGTTGTTTGGAGTTTTAGGTGCAGCATTTGTTATGGCACCTCCGGCTTTGACATTGTTCTGCCTGGTAATTTAAAGCCCTGCCCGCCGCCTGCTGGACGGCTGCAGGGCCCCTCATCACTGTTGCCTTTATACTCTAATCTCCTTTTTCCCCCTCACTGCTTTCAGGACGACGCTATTTCTCAAAAGTAGTAAAAGGGCCACACAGTGAGGGCTCTACCCCCCAGGTTTGATTTCAGAAAGCTTTTATTCAAGTTAATGACAGTTTATTCTTCCAAAACAATATATTCAAGTATTACACAGAGTTCACCATTGTTCCATAATGTCATATGATGTAATGCTAATGCTGGTGGGTGATCTGCAAAGGCAGTGGCCAGGCGAGTTTGGGGCTATTTCTATGACTGAGGTAATGTTTGCATTTTTAATAAGCAAGCAGATTCTTTCTTTGGTCTTAACCCTTTTGGATAATTATACCAGAGTATAATTTATGCTCCATATGAATGCCAAATATCTGTTCCTCTTTTTTTTTAAGTCAAAAGAATTTCTGTTTTTCATAGCAGTGTCCAAATTACCAATTTATTTTGAAATGTAAAGCATTTAGTAGAAAATTAAAAGTAAAAGATTAGAAAGTAGCAATAAGTGGTCATGACAGATCACAAAATCAAAATGTAGATTTGATGCAAATTAGTTAGATTCCGGGGGATCAAACAAGCTCTATAGATTTCTTACTTGCAACTTAACCACTCATATTTTTTAATGAATCCCATTATTTTATGTCATTCTGTAGAAATGAGATATTCACAAGATGAATGCAATATTGATGTTTTATATATACATAAGTTATGAAAATAATTATTCTGTACACTCCTGGTGGTGACTATATGCATGCATCCACACACCCATGCACAGGCACACATGTGACATCCTTTGCAACTGACCTATCATTTTTGCTGTTGACCCTGGATATAATATAAAATTGTCTTGCTGCCTAAGGGAGAGACTGTCCTTGTTACCAACAAGGAAGGGCAAACATATACAGTGTAGATGCTTCAGTGATACTAAACAGCTTTGTTGGGAATTTTGTGTTTGGTCATGAAGAACATGATATATGTGAAGCAGATTTTGACAATTACAAAGAGCTAGGGGCTTTTCTTGGTGAAGCAAAATCTCATGGAACAGCAATAAAGCCTCCCAAGTCACATGGAATATTGAAAATTAGTGCTTGAGGTTGAAGCTGGGTAAGAATAACTCGATAGAAAAGGGTGCTAAGGAGAACATGAGGGAGCTGGATTTCTAATGAGCAGTTTCTTCATATCTGACAAATAATATGAAGGTAGAAAGTCTATCAGACACCAAGCCATATTAAACATGAACTTATTGGAATAATTAACTGTCAGATAGTTTATATACTGATTATTCATTCTTTTTTGTTTCTTTAAACTTTTAATTTGTGTTATATTATGAATTTAAACAAAATATACATGGTTTACTTTAGCTAGTACGCAAGGATATATCTTTCTAAGCAATATCATTTCCTGCCTGGGCTAGCCGATTACTCCTGGAATATGACAATAAAGACAGATGTGTATATTTCCTTTTATGGCTCTTGTTTGTCAGGAGTTTCTACTAAATGACAGCCTAGAAACCTTCTAAGGCTGAACAGTATAAAATTCTGTTAGTCATCTTCTGTTTTTCTACTTTTCCAAAAATCACATATAAAAATTCTATTTTTAAACACACTAGCATTTGAGACTGAAATGTTTAGGAAAGCAGAATTTTAGAGGTATCCTAGAATTTTTAAAAAATTCTATTCCCCTACCCCTAAATTTTAACTGGCTATTGGACAGATTAATTTGATGCTAATTGTGTAGTTGGAACTGGACACAAGTGAAAGTCACATACTCTTTTTTTAGAACCATGATGGTTCATGTATTTATTTAAACATATTCATTGAATGCTTGCTGTTTGTCAGATATTGTTAGGCTTAGAGATACAAAAATCAAAACCACTGTTCCTTCTCATGAGAAGCTCACTGTCTAGTGAGGGGAGCTACGTATGTTGTTAACAGATAAATTGTGATTCAACATGATAATGGCTATAAATAAAGTAACCCTTTGGAGAACGTAAAGGATGGAACAACTTACTCTGAGAGGCAGGAAAGATTGACTAGAACCAGAACAACTTAGAAGAATTTATATTTGTGGCCTTGATAGTAATTATTTTCAAAACTTTATTATGTATAAGAAGCCACCTGGAGAAACTTTTTTTTCTTTTTCTTTTTTTTTTTAAAAAAAAAATATATTGATTTCAGAGAGAGGAAAGGAGAGGGAGAGAGAGAGATAGAAACATCAATGATGAGAGAGTCATTGATCCGCTGCAGCCCGCAACCCGG